GTCAGAACATAGAAACAATCCCATGTCAATTGCTGATAGAAATAGCACTCATCTTGGAGATTCAATTGTTAGTGTAGATGCATCTCAGGTGTCTAATCAATAGAGATCAGAGCTGATATTCTTCCTTTATTTCCTGACTCTATCATGGCTTGAAATGTGTATGTGTATACATATATATGTATATATAGCTGTATATATGCATGTGTATATCAATAGATACAGATAGAAGTATGTATATCTTTAACATACATATTGAGCTTCCAACTGCAGGTGGTGATCTGGCATCTATGCTTTTATTTAAACTCAATAGCTATTTCTCACAGGTCGTGTGATTATCTCGGGTCCAAAATATTTGGAGTGCCTTATGGATAAAGGGTAAGGTAAACTCTAAGTGTCCAGGATTCTCTCTGAGCCACTCATTCCAGAAAAAAAAGGAGGGGGGGGCATTTGTAAACTTATAATGGGCTCTTCTTGGCTCATTTTGCAATGCAGCATGAGCTCACTATGGAGACCAGAATTTTAAAAGTGCTTGATCTCAACTTGCAAGAAAAGATGATCACTTTTGAGGTATGTTCCTCTGAATTTTTATAACCCTATAAATGGTTTTCAAAAAAATCAGTAGATTTCAAGAAAAGATTAGCATTCTATAAATTGGGGTTGGCAAACTATGGCCCATGGGCCAGAACTAGTCCAACACTTGTTTTTATCAAAAATGTCTTACTAGAACACAACCACATCCATTTGTTTATATATTATCTATGGTTGCTTTTGTGCTACATGGCAGAGTTGAATAGTTGTGACAGAGACCATATGGCCCACAAAGCCCACAATATTTACTATCTTGCCCTTAACAGAAAAAGTTTGCTGATCCCTACTATAAAACAATAAAAGCATATGAACAACCCAACAGAAAACAAACTGGCAAAGGAAATGACTAGGCAATGCATAGAAGAGCACACTGGAATGTCCAATAAATACGTGAAAAGATGTAGTTGTAATCAGGGAAATTGAAATTTAAATCACACTGAGATTTCATTTCACATGCATTAGATTTGCAAATATTTAATTCTTACAATATCAGGTGGTGATAAGATGTAGAGTAACGGGGATTCTTGTTCTCTGTCGAGGGAAGCATAAATGAGTACAGCCACTTTTGAGGACACCTTAGCAACATTTAATAACAGTGAATTCACAGAATCCATGACCCAGAAATCCCACTTCAACACACACACACACACACACACACACACACACACACACACACACACTCTCTCTCTCACACCCACAGAAGTATATAAAGGAAATATGCATATTTTAGAGAAACTCTTGCATATATGGACAAGGAAACATATATAAGAATATTCATAATTGCATTGTTATCAGAAAAAATAGAAATAAACTCAATCTTAAACAAGAAATAGAGAAATAAATACTGGGTGCAATGATTAATTTTATATGTCGACTTGACTGGGCAAAGGATGCTGGGACATCTGGAAAAACATTATGTCTGGGTGTGTCTGTCAGGATGTTCCTAGAAGAGATTAAGCGTTCGAATCTGTAGATTGAGTTAAGAAGATGCTCTCATCAATGTGAGTGGTCAGCATCCCAATCCATTGAAGGCCTGAATAGAACAAAAAGGTTGAGGAAGGGCAAATTTGCTCTTTCTGCTCAAGCTGGGACATCCATGCTCTCCTGCCCTTGGACTTTGGTGCTCCTGGTTCTTGGAAATTTAGACTTGGACCAAAACTTACACCATTGGCTTCCCTGGTTCCCAGGCCTTTGGGTTTGGACTGAAACTAAACCACTGGCTTTCCTGGGCCTTCAGTATGCAGATGGTAGATTGTGACATTCTCCTTCATAATCATGTGGTAATCATAATAAATCTCTATCATCTATCTATCTAGCCTATTGGTTCTGTTCTCTGGAGAATCCTAACACACTGGGTATATTCTATAAATGGAACACTGTATAGTAATGAAAATGAATTAACAATAGCCACCTATTTTATGAACATGGATAAAGCTCATAGGTTGAGCAAAAAAAGCAAGTTGTAAAACAGTACAGAATGTTATTTATATAGACAAAGAATACTATATATTGTTTAGGGATATATACATATGAAAAAATGTATATTACATACAAAAATTGAATTATAATTCACATGAACATATGCATGGGAATTAATTATAAAGTTTAGGAGAGTATTTATTTCTCAGGGAGAGAAAGAAGGAAAGGAATATGATTAGGAGGCGTGCAAAGGGAACTTCACATTTATAACATCTTCTTAAGCTGGTTGCTGTGAATGCAGATTTTTTTTCTTTTTATAAATTGGAAATATTTCACAAAAAGTGAAGTTCTGTATGTTTCAGAACTTTTATTCAGTCAATCATTGTAATACACAACCTGAGAGCCCCTACTGGGTCTTAGTTTTTATTGCCTTAAGAGAGCACCTGGGACCATTCACCCAACAGGTAAGGCCTCTGCATATACTTGTTCAGGTTCTATGTTTACAAGAGTTCCTGGGTGAGGGGGTGATGGGGTTGAAGTCCAGCTTGTCCAGCAGTCAACAAGCCCTGTGTCCTTTACACAAGGACACCAAGGCGAGCATCAGCAGGAGGGGGTACTTTCTTCATTGCCCAAATGCACCATGTGGTATATGCAGAGGTGCTACAGCCAGGGTCCACCTCTTATCTAGCCTATGGATGCTACAAATGTATTCATCCACAGCCATGAAAAACTAGGAAGAGGGACCAGTCGTAGGCAGAGATCCTATTAAGTTTATTTTTTGCCTGCCACCAAATTTTTATTTGATTCACCCTGATATCTTCCCAGTCCTTATGATTTATTTATGAGCTGATCATTTGTCTCTAGTTATCTGGGATAGTACCTTAATAACTCATTTTTTGGTTTTTGTCTTTATGTTCTCTTGGGACATCTTTTCCAAGAGGTGAAGACTAATTGGCCAATTTATCTTTAATGCAAAGGACACATAATATAGCAACTATAATAAATACTAACAATTTTTAATAGATCTTACCTTTTCTCTTCCCTACTCGAGTCCTTTGTTCCGGACATTTTGTCTTCTTGGCTAAGCTACAAATTTGAATCTTCCTTTCTTACCTTTGTATCTGATAGACAATAGGAAATTATTCTTCAACAGAATCTACATCTCTCCTTTCATCTAAGTTGCCAGCTATCAAATTTTATTTTTTGAAAACAAAGAATAAAGTTCTTCAAATGTGGTTCATAGACCACCTGCATCACTTTTACTTAATGTGCATCAAAGTGCTGATTCCTGGGCCCTACTCAGGCCCACGAAATCATTCTGCATTTTTAATCAAGCCTTGCATGTGATTCTTATGCTCACTAAAGTTTGAAAACCACTACTTTAAAAGAAAGAAATGAGTTATTTGGCAGAAATAAAATTAATCAGGATAGTTTATAATTGTTATTTTAAAACAGCAGGAGAAAGTGATATCTGGGCAAGAGAAATTCTGTCATCTTTTAGTGTTGCTTAAAAAAAAGGTCTTAAAGGAATCAATTAGAGAAACTAACTTCACAATTTTTGCCTCATTTCATTGGCTCATGACAGTTACTAGAAAATAATGGAAATGATTTAGACAATGAAAGCCAATTTAGGTAAGGCTCTAAGAGCACCAGACAAGGAGCAGGGAGCCTAGGAACTGTTCCTTGATTATGTTGGGCAGAGCACAATATCTGAGAGCTTCAGACTTCTTATCTGTAAAACCACAGGCTTGTCCATCTATCTTGAAGTTGTCTTTCCGCCCTAAGGTGCGAGGAAATATGTGAAGACATGTCTATGTTTGTTGACTCTCTAGTATGTAGGTAAATGTATGTTAGTCATGTGCCCAACCTGCCATTATTTTTAAGATAAACTCCTGAATACAAAGATGATGGCAATTTTTAATTGTACACTTACAGGTCTGCATCAACTTGTTTCCATCGTCTTTATTTATACGAGATGACTAGTCAACTTTATATGACGGTGACATTTTAAAACTCTGCTTGCTTTAATTTATTTATAAAGAATGTCTCCACTATAGAGTAAAACAACCCAATGGTACAGCAGAAAGCAAGAAAGGAGGCGCCCACGAAGCAGTAGTTGGTTCAGATCATGATTCTTTGGGGCCTATTAGGCCATAGGGACTCAAAGTCCAGAAGAAGAGCAAATACTGATAGTTACCTAACGCCAAGGTTGCTGCTGGTGTTGGCTTCTCAGCGGTAGTCACCTCCCACTCAAATGTTTTCTCGTTTGGAAAAATTGTCCACTGTTCAGAAATATCACTTCCTTTTGACACTTACAACATCCCTGTGTTTCAGGATTTTGAAGTGTGTGAGAAAGCAGTTTGATTTGCGGCCACCAAAACCCTCTCTATATCAGGAATGATTAATTGCTACGACTAAGCTACCAGGTGTATATCCAGATGAGTAAAAAGATCCCAGGTGAAGTGAGTCACTGGAAGGGGTACACTTGTAATTCAGCATCTAGCTGACACCCAAAGATTGAGGGAAACATTCCCCCTCCTCTTCAAAATCTTTTTTCCGTTTGCACAGCTCCTGACGTCCTCGCCCTTTGGAACAACGGAGAGTCATTTGAAACTTAACTGAACGCTGGAGGCAAGTTCTACTTTTCAGGTCATCCAATTTAGGAGATCCAATTTCTGTAGAGGGAAGAAAAAGACGGGTGGGGGAGGGAAAACCAGACTCCTCGTCTTCTAGCCTTCTACCTTCAATCCGCAACCTGCCACGCAAATCCAGCCAAGTCAGGGATTTTGCCTTGAACCTCCACTCCACCACCACCACCACCACCTTGTCACTCACGCCCGAGAAACACGCCCCTCTGGCCCAACTCTTGGCCAATGGCGGCTCCCCTGCCTGCATAGTAATGAGCTCGAGACCTCCCCGGGCCAATGGCGCTCCGGGAGAAGGGTTAGTTTTGCATGTACCTAGGCGATTTGCATAACCCAGCGGCCGGGGGCTTGGGAACCCGAGCGTGCAACCCTAGAAGGGAAAAGGACGGGAAGAGCCTGAGCCGCGGCGCGGAGAGCGCGGGCGAGAGTCTGGGTGTTTGTGCGAGAGCCGGGGCTGGGGCTGCGGCGAGGGGCCGGCATGGCTGAAGGCTGCGCTCCGCAACCTTGAAGCGCGGCTGCGGCGGGAGGCTGGGGGCAGCGAGGCGGGTGCGATGGCAGAGCGCGGCCCCCACAGCTGCGCCGCGCCGGCCCGGCTGGCCTGAGCCGCCGGAGGAGCGGGGCTGCCTCTGCGCTTCCATGGAGCAGCGGGAAGGGCGAAACTCCGGAGCGCCGCGTCCCTGCGCTGCTGCGGCGCACTGTTGAAGGGGCCGAGTCCGTGCGGACCGCCGAGGGAGTGAGCCCCCGCCCCAGCCCGCAGGCCGGCTGCCCGGGGGCGGCGGGGGGCGTCGGAGGGCGTCGGAGGGCAGCGGAGGCGCGCGGAGCCAGCGGCGCCGCGGGAGAGGCCTGCGCGGGAGGCGGCCGCAGCAATGCCGGGCCCGCTGGGGCTGCTCTGCTTCCTCGCCCTGGGGCTGCTCGGCTCGGCCGGGCCCAGCGGCGCGGCGCCGCCTCTCTGCGCGGCGCCCTGCAGCTGCGACGGCGACCGTCGGGTGGACTGCTCCGGGAAGGGGCTGACGGCCGTGCCCGAGGGGCTCAGTGCCTTCACCCAAGCGCTGTGAGTGCGGGCGGCGGGCTTGCCAGGGATGGGGGACTCGCGGGGGGCGCTGCGGGGTGGAGCCAGTGGTCAATCCCACCCCACCCTCCGGCGGCCCGGGGAGGGGGGCGACGCCGGTCACCTGTGTGTGGGGGGGCGGGGGCTTGGCACCCACTCCCGCGCCGCGGGCTTTTCACACTTTGTCAGTCTGGGTCCGAGCAGCGTGTAGCTCTTTTTCCCAGACTTTATGGTCTCAGTACCCCCCCCACCCCCGGACTCCGAATGCATATGGGGCCAAGGAGGAGGAAAGAATCTGGAAACGCTTGCCCCTGGCAGCCTTTTCCCGCGACCTTCCCTTCTCACTCGGGCCCATGCTCAGCTGGCAAGAGTTTCGCCACTGGCAGTGGTGAGGGCGCCGAGAACTTGGCCTAAGTCTGCAGACCGAGACACGTTTCGTGGGGAAGCACCTGGGCTCCTGGGTTCCAGCATGCGGGGAGAAGAAACACCTGCACCTCAGTCAGGGCGAATCGCCTTCCAGTTTGGCCCGATCCAGGTAGTGCGACTTGGCACCTCGGCCCAGTTCCACTCTAGACTCACCCACAAACGCCCAGGGTTCTGGAACACGCAGGGGAGTCAAAAAAAAGCAAGGGAGAATTACAGGCTTCTCGGTGAAAATACTCTGACCTAACAAGGCCTTTTTAAGAAGGAATGCTGACCTGAGCGAGGTACAGGCTGTTGGAAGAGAAGCGGAGTTCCAGAGCATATGCTCAAGCGCAGTGCACAAGATGGGCAGCAGTTTTCTGCTGTGCCTTAATCAATCGGCAGAACTTTTCGGCTGCTTGAGGTCTGGAGAGTCGTGCAAATGTTTCTGACTTCCAAAAATCTCCCTCCTCCAACGGGGACCTGAGAGCTTTAGACATTCCCTTGAGAAAAGAAGAGGAATCTGAAATAGGTGTTGGAGGTGGTGTTGGCAAATGCCACCAGTAGAGGAAGAATAGGGTAATTGAGTGCATGGCTTGTGTGCTCTTGTTCTTCCTTCTTGTGTTGTGTGGCCAGTTGAATGATTAAATCAGGAGCAGTGAAAGAACTGTTTGAGAGAGGAAGGGATTCTAAGGGGCCCTTGGGTAGAGGGAATTTCCTTTTACCTTACAGCTACTGAAAGAGACCTCTTAGAAATAGACAGTTTTAAAAGAATAACAGTCCCTGTGAAGAAATCCTTTTTATGCAGGCCAGAGCACTGGTGTATTTCCAGGTGGGTGGTAGCAAGGTGTTCTGCCTGCCCTCTCAGAATGGACTTTTACTGAGCATTGAGGCTTGCTGTCTTGGAACCTGTTTCATTCTTCTTCCTCCAGCACCCACTCCCCTTGTCTGAGGTTAGTTTTGTGTTTGAAGTCATTTTTCTTTAGCCCAGTGAGGTTTAACTTTTCACCAAAAAGTTAACTTTGCAGTCAAGAGCATTTTGTTCACAAAGTTACATTAAATGGGAAAGTTTGAACAGGAGTGGGTTGAATGAGGAAAAGAAGACCTGGATAGAGGAGATGGGGCTATTTTTTCCTCCAAATTCTCTAGAAACTTAGGGAATTCATAGAGAAAGAAGGATGCCTTTATCTGAACCTCTTTCAAGACTCTCCATATAATAGAAAAGTCAAAATTTTACTATTTTGACTAGTTGTAAAGACCTTATTTAGTAGATTTCTTGAGTTTTAATGAGTAGAGTGGCCCTATAAGGAAAAGGGCTGTTTTACATTAGAACCTAAAACCACAAATATCACATTGTTATGAGAGCATGCTTCTCTCTGTAGAGCATTGGGCACCTTCCTGTAGAGCTCACTGGAGGTAATGAAATGTTGTATCTTCAGCTTTGAGCCTTGTACTGTTCATGGCTTGGGAAACAAAAATAATTGGCACCAGTCTAGAGTGTCTAAACTAGCATTATCACAGCACTTTTTGAGCTGGGGTAGTGAGCAAATGTGTTATGATTACTTACCACCTATATAGGTGACCTGTAAGTGAGTGACTGTATGTTCTGTTAAATCCTTATTTCATCTGAGTACTCATTTTGCCCTCAAAAATATATTATACGATCACCCTTTCTAAAGGGGTTTTCAAGGGCAGTATATTCGCATTTTACATGTAAGGAAACCAGCCTGTCCAGTGATTCTCAAAAGCCTATGAGGAGGGGCTGGTGCTGCAAGTCTGCACACTCCAGTGAAGTTAAAGGACACCTTGGAATCAATCACCTGGGGTGTCTTTCCAAATACTTCCTGTCTGCCCTCCCATGACAGCTTTAGTGAGCCCCACTCACACATCAGGAGGCTAGATCCATGGTCCCTAAGCTTCTGTTCACCTGTTCTTAATTTCTGGAGCATGTGCACCACAGCCTATTTAGTTATAGATAAAATTACAAACACAAAAATAAACGTTAAAAAGATGAGTATAATCAGAGTTCTTTATTTTCTTCTCATTCCTTTTCCAGTGATAGTACTTTCACCTGCCCTGGTGGGCGGGGTATGCATCCCACTTCAGAGATGGAGGACTGACAGCAGGGATTTTACTTCACTTGCAGTCCACAGAGCCTGATACATAGGAGGCACTTAAAAATGTTGGAGGGAATAAATGAGGATGCAGGGCCACACTGCGGAGTGGAACTGGGGCATGGAATTCAGACACCACTCCCACGTGGGACTGTCACATTCAGCATTCTCAGCATTTAGCCTTTAGTCCAGATTTGAGAAGGCACCAGAGAGAGGATACTGTCTTCTCCTTTAGGCTCGTTTAAACTTGTTCAATCTAACAGTGTCTATTTCCTGCTGAAAGTCGCTTTACCGGAGTCTGGGGACAGAGTCAGATGTAATCCTTAGTATTGTTGATGGGATTCCTGTGTTCACACCATTTGCTGCACCTGTAGTGATTATTTATGTTTTTGAACAGCAGTTTTCAATCTGTGTCTCAACACACAGGTTTATCACAGTTCACCCTGAGGTGTGTTAAAGGCAGTATTCTTACTAATACTAAAATTCCAAAGTTTATTTTATCAAAAGAATTCAATATTATTCCTGTATTACTGGTAATAAGGTGACTCTTTGGGGGAGGAAGAGATGAAGTCGTGGGGAGGGGAACTTGTACATGAGCCCTGTGGTGTGTTATTGCTACAAAGTTTGAGAAATGTAGACCTGGAGCACAAATTTTCATATGCTAGATTATGTCTGGCACTAACTTGTAAGATTACAAAGACTACTTGTGTGGCTTCGTGAAGAGAGTGGTTGATCTGAGCCCTTGATCATAGCCTTCCGGTGCCACTAATTGTGTGGCCTTGAGCAAGTCATTCCACTTTTTTGGGGGGTGGGGGGGGTAAGAATTTCCTAACTTGAAAAATGAAATAATTGAATTTACTAGATTATCTTTAAGGCTGTTTCTTGCTTCCAGAAGTTCTATGATTTTCTATTTCTCACGCAATTTTAGGATGGCCAGGTGATAATATTACGATTCTCTCATAGAAAGATCCCAGGAGTAGCAGAATATTGTTCTAGTTGAAGTTGCACAAGCCTATTTATTACCACTCACTTGGAGGAGTTCTTTGTGTTTAGAAGTATGTGTTAGGAAATTTGCCATGGAGACTTGTTGCAGAATGCATGACTAGCTGAGGCGCTTTGCTAGGGTAGAATAGTCCTGCTTGTTTCCTGTGGGTATGGCTTAACACTTGGAAAATAAAATCACTCTGTTTCAGTAATTTGGATACTGTACAAAAAGTTACTCAATGTCCTCACTTCCATATAATTAGTCATAATCTCTCAAACCTTCACAGTGTGTGTATCCTGTACATGAGCAGGTTGTCGAGTTTTTTATATAGAATTGAGTTACCTGAAAGGCTTTGAAGTGTTTTTTAAGAATCTTCTTTTGGAAACATCATCTCAGATTCTTCCCTGAGGTGTATTTTTTCATTATAACAAACATCTTCTTTTACTAATACCATCCGAAAGTATTTTCTTATGTATCCTGCAATATCTATTATGCATTCCCTGGCAGGTTAGGTCAGTACTCAGTAGCTTACTGTTTGTACCTTATTGATGGTAGAGTTTTGATATCTTTTGATTTCTGAATTATCTGTAAATTTCAATGTTAGCTTAGTTTGTGTACTGTCTTTCTAGAGGTGTATTAGTTTTATTTACTATATACACATGAACTTCGTTCAAACCAAGGACAATATATGAACATCTTTAAGTATAGATCCTTTATTTTCCAAATTAGTGAACCACTGGGTTCTCTGTAAATACAAGCAAGGAAAGAACATTCTGCCAGGCACATGGAGAGCTGGGTTCCAGATCTGTGAATAAGTTACAGAAGTGACCTTGAATGAATCATATGCTTAACCCTTCAGAAACTTAGTTTTGTCATCTGTAAAACAAAGAAGTCAACAACTCTTAACTGCCAAGAGGTTTTTTATCTGTTTAATTTGATTTTTATACATTTCTCGAGTCCTCTCTATTGTGTTAAGTGAAGTATAACTTTCTAAATCTCAGAAATCTCTCACCCACCCAAGAGACTCTAAGTTGTCCTCCAGTTGTCCAGTTCAGCTGGGATATTTCCACTGAATGGAGAACTCACTGTCTCACAAGGCAACGGTATGCTGGATGTGGTCTGAGCAGTATTTTGGACTTCAAGCAGTAATTCTCTTATTCTATGCTCCTTAAGGCTTGTTGTAGTAACCAATAATATTGTACGATTTCTAGGCAAACTAAATGCCTCTGCCAGTTATGGTATCGCAAATATTTAATGTCCAAGTGCTTGGCTCTTAACATTAGAATTGTAACATTTGACAGCTTAATCTCTTGGGAGAGATCAAAGTTCTGTACTAGTAGGTGGATCCAGGCAAGTTTAGGCATTTCTTGGTCTCTGTCTGTCTGTCTCTCAGGTTCTTATTTTAGTAATCTTTATAATAATGGACAGTACTGATAGCCCGCATGTTTGGATTTTCATTTCTGATCTCCTTGGTTGTGTCTATCCTTTTACTCTCATTTTTC